ACTTGTGCTATCATTCGTCGAGCTTGAACATCTTGAAGGGCTCTTGCGAGTTCGAGGTAAGTGGCAACATTGATGTGTGTTGCCGCTTCTTGGAGGGATCATTGGAGTCCTTGCATGTACCATGGGTAAAGTAATGTTTCGGTGGCACTGTTGCCACATTTGCTAGCATGTCGAGTGAAGGTTTGAGTGTAGTCGTCGATGGATTGACCGGACTTCTGCTTGAGTTTTTGGATCTTGTGAAGTTGTTGGCTTTGAGTGAGGGAAGACTTGAATCGGTCTACGAGCTTGAGTGTGAGGTTGTCAAAACTTGTATTTTGAGGAAGCGCTTGAGCCCATTTGTTGGCTCTCTTTTGAAGGGTACATCAGAAGTAGTATGGAAGTTCGGTCGTCTGGCCGTTGATTCAGATTGCTTCTCAAAACTGTTCAACATGTTTCTCGGCATCTTCTGACTTCAGACCATGAAATAGTGGATAGGAGATGTGTCTTCCGACAGGTATGTTGGCGACAACAGTAGTGACTGCCATTTGCTGTTGGTAGTAATGTCAGTATTGTCGAGGTTGTTTTGTCAGGTTGTCACCATGGAGTCCTAAGGTGATTTGTAGCAAGGGGTTGTCGGGGTCAATGGCAAAGTTGGTGTAAGAGGAAGGTGGTGAATTGTTGTTGTTGTTTAGTGGACTCTTCTTTGTTTTCTCTTCTGTGTTGGGACTGTTTTCGGGTGTGTCGTTGATGTCATTGTCGGTGTCGAGTTGCTTGCCGGTGTTGATTTTCGGAAGATGGTGCTCGAACTTGTTGTCAACGTACTTGTCGGAGTTATGTTATGTTGGTTGTGGTTGTTCTTCTAAATTGTCAAAGTGTTCTTCAAACATATAGTTGTGTGGTGATTGTGGTTGCTGTGGAAGATTGTTGTCATCGACAATTGGTTCGTCGATCTTGTTGTTGTTGGATGATTGTAGCTGTTCAGCAGCTTGGTGTGAGTTGTTGACGTCGAGTGGTTGACTATTGGGCGATTTGGGTTGTTTGTCTTTACTGCTGTTGACTGGGTATAGTGGAGTGCGACTGTAATTGGTGAAGTCGAGTTGTTGTCTTGTCGGCACATTGAAGTCGAAAGCATGTTTGAAAGGTCTTGCTGATAGCAAGCTTCGGTAGATGTTGGAAGAAAATGTGGGATATATTGGTGTTATGAAGATCGGTCGGTATGGCGAAAATGGTGTTGGTCTGGTGAAGTTTGTGAAGCTGGGCGGGAAACTTGGTCATTCGTCGTCACTGTAGATGGGGATGGTGAATGTACCTTTGAAGTGGTTGTATGCTGCTTGAAAAATGTTTTGTTGCTCGGCGTAGTCTGTGTCAGCTGCTTGAATGTTCGGTCGGGCTTGGGCACTTTGGTGGGTGCCATCGAGGGTGTTGATTCAGGCTCGGGCACTTCAGTGGGTGCCATCGAGGGTGCTACCGGTGGTGTGTCTGGTGGTGTTGTGTAGTCATCGTATTCTTTGCGGATGTCCAATACTAGTTCGTCGGAGTTAGCTCGTAGTAATAATTCATGTCAGATGTAATTCTCTCTCTTCGAGGGTCTAACAACTTGATTCAACTTCTCTTGGTCTTTCTTTCTCTTTGTTTCTAAATTCTTCAAATCTCTATCTAAACGTCAGATAAGCCGTTGTCAATCTTCTTCCGACTTGCTGGATGTTCTTCGTGGTTTTGGATACATGCATTCTTCTACTGGTTGTCAGTGTCAGATTCGTGTCTGCAGTCAATCATGCAGTTCAGGTAGAACTTCGGGAAGACTGTTGGCGGGCCAATTGTCGATAAAGTCATTGTGAGCTTGTTCTTTCTTTTCAATGCAAATATCAATGGTGGTGCGTGTTGGGTTGGGTTGTGTTCAGCCGAGTTGTGTTGGGTCGAGTGTGCTGGTGCAGTATGCAAACTGGTCTTCCACTTGCTGGTGCCAAGATGGAGTTTGATGAAGAGTTTCAGATATTTGGGTTTGTCTGGAATGATTTCTTCGATAATGTCATCGAGTTGTTCGAGTCCGGATTGGGCGATGGCGTGATTGGCGAGAGTTGTTGCAGCGAACGTGTTGATTTCAAATCGAGTTTGGACTGTTGTTTTGGTGCTGAGCTGCTGACTTTGTCGGAGGGGTTGTCGAAAAAATCAATGGTGCATTGTGAAGTTGTCCCTCGACAAGTTGTCCGATACCGGGTAACAAAGTGATGGGTTCGTTGTTGGTGTAGGTTCTGAGGATGTGCTTCAATATTGGGACTGGGCGCAGGAACTGGAATCGTGTCGGAGCACTAGGATTGCCAGGTCGACGACTACACGGAATTTGGGTTTGTTTCGGCAGTGGTGTCGGTTTGTGTCGAGCGCGCTAGTTGAGGTTTCGAGCTTGGAGTGGGTGGTCTTGTGCTCGGAGATGGAGTTTGCCAATGAAGCTGCTGAGGGCATCTGCTGATGAAGGTGCTGGTAGATTGGAGTTTCTTGTCAAAGAGGGTCATTGGTGTTCTCCATCGGTGATTGGACTTGGAGATCTTGAGAGAGAGCTTTTAGATTCTTCAAAGATCTCCTCTGGAAAGTGTCTGTCTCTACTGCATTGGGCAGTGACTGCTTGGACGCTGTTGATCCATGTTGGCAGTGGCATTTGGGCGAATTTACGAATTAGGGCGTAATTTGGGCAAATTTGGGGAGGTGGGTAAATTTCTGGATCGTTCTCGCTATCTGTGCACAGAGAATGGAGAAAGAATGGAAGAATTTGTGAACCTAAAGGGGAATTCAAAAGCCGTGGTCGCCAAATGAAGAGGTGTAAAAACTCCTCTTCGCTGGAAATCTATTATTAGTAAGAAAACAAAAGAGAAAAAGGCCCAATCTCCAAGGGCTGAGAAGAAGCACAAGTAAAAGAATGTTGTGTATTGATAAGATAAATGATGGAATGGAGATAGGGATCCACAATTCAGATTCCCCCCTTTGAAAAGCTAACGGTTCTAACTGCTAGCATATACTATATGCTGTGCATGATTTAATCTATGGCTCCGATGCAGCCCTGGGTTCAAGGTCGGAGTCCCCTGATTTTTTGTTGAGACAGGTGGTCGAGGATTTACGAGTGGATCACGATAGTCAGAATTGCAGATATACAGCAAAGGAGGTGTGGTTTGTCATCTCTCTTTGTTTGATATTTCAACTAGGCAAAGCAGCTCTAGCAAAAGCAAAGCAAACACGATCACTACATCGAGGCAACTAAGAGGGGATTCTATTCGGTTGCAAGCTGTAAGTTGATAGTTTTGTTATGATAGGCAGTTCTTTGAAGGGGAAATCGACTCTCGCTGTGAGTGCAGCCTCGCTTGTCAAGCACGTTTTGGACGTTGGAAAAGTTCCATTGCCTTGAGCATCGTTGCAAAAGCAACGCTGGAGAGGCTGCCCGACTGATCCAGGGTCGAGCTCGCGTAGCTAACTCCAGCGTGACGACACCAAGCTTTCCTCATCCAAGCAAATCCTTGAAATTGTTCCTCTCCCAGCTTGCTTGCATTTCTCTCACATCCTCCTTGATCTGTAGCGTTAGAAAGAAAATAATGGAACACGAGAAGGAGAGATGTTTGGCCCTTATGGCTTTTTTGCTATGATCTCTCTTTTGTTCTCGATTGCTGCTGCTGTTATATAAGAGAGAAAAACTGTGAGTTGGTAGTGTACAAAACTTTTTTGGGGGTGATTCAGCGTGGATGACCGACCTGTCATGACTTGAGAAGAACTCGATCAAACTTCAATCTATATCTGAATGATGTTGGGGACTCTTAAATCCCGCTAGTGAGTTGAACTTAATCATCATCTAAATATCATGAGTGCATGAACCTCTCTAGAGACTGGAAAGAAAGAAAAAAGAAAAATTTCCTGCACATTCGCTGCATACATTAGCCTTGGTATTTCCGATCTTGTGTGGAGGGTTTTAGATTTAATGCCACGACTCCTCCACACTATTAAATGCTGTCTGAGTATCTTTAGATTCTGAAAGAAAAATAACCATTATCTACCCATTGTAAAGCATCAATTCTAGCATCCATCAATCACTATTGTTTGGAAAGGTATACGTAGCAGTGAACCTTCTTGCATCATTAGTTTATCTTTCTATCAAAACAGCATATACATTAGATAGAAAAGGTGCTCTAGCTCCAGTGAGGAAATCCTCAACACTTGCATGGTAGTTTTCCGCCCAAGAAAGTAGGAGAATGGAGGGTGGCACTTGCTCTCAGGAAGTTGTCCTTGTCTTTTGCCAGCTTCGTGAGAGACCCTAGAGTTAAATAGAGTGGACCCTATTGACTGCTGGATTTAACCTTACAAGAATCTCATTACTTCTTATTCTTCCTCTTTCGGATCAGAGCTTGAACTTCTTTTGAGAGGTCACAAACCTCTCTTGGTCATCTTGTATTTCACTTGCTGCTTATTTGGGTGTTCACCCAGGCTAAAGTCATCCTCAATGTTCTCGTCATATTCATCATTTCTCTTGGGTTTGAATTTGAGCTCACCATACCACTTGATGATCTCCTCCACACCCCCGACCTGAAAGTTGAAGAGATTCACACACGCATTCCCTAGCCAGGTCCAAATCTTGTCGAAGCCACCATTCTGCACCACCATCTTTGCAACTTCCAGGTCCTCAACAAGTTCATCATAAGTCTCGTGATCAAAATCCTCTTGATTCATCCCGTTATCGAATTCAACATCAGGCGAGCAGTATGTGTACATCCCAAGCAATCTATCCAACGACTTGGACTTGTCAACACCAACTCCCACTCATGTGCCAACATCCGCACATCAAACACCAGCCGCACCTGCATCTCCAGTGATCCAACACCGCTGAACATCCACCCAAGAAACCATCTCCTGCAGAAACTTTCTCGATCCCGGGCCACGCCCTCGAATCTCACGGGGTATCATGCCTAATCTCATGTACTTGATCAGACGTCGTCTAAACAATGGCATCTTCTGTGGCTGCTGGAGCTCTTCCTGGACTGCTTCAATCATTGTTGGCGCCCTCTTGTAGCCATCGATGCAAAGGCGAACATTGGTGTAAGTGAGGTCGTCATCCCAAATACCTTCATAGTGTCATGATATGTGGGCTTCTTGGGGACGTTGGCCTCCATTGCAATTCTGCTGATACCCGTCACTCTGCCCTGCACACATCACTCTACCCTGCACACATCACTCTACCCTGCACGCACGCGTGATCAAATACATGCTGGATCCTGTAATCTTGCCATGTCCACAATGGCTAGTGTCATAGCCTCTGTCCCAAACAATCCATTACAGAGTCCACCAGGAAGTCGCCCCTCCTTTTCATGAGCAGCTGCACCATAAACCTTGCATATATCCGAATATCATTAACTTTTTTTAGCTCTGATTCATTTAATTGATCATTCAGATCGATGACAGGCCTCCCAATCACTTGCATTTCCTGTATAGGCCTCAGGCTTCAGGCTCCCAAGTCTGCAACAAGGTGAAGAATGTAAGAAAAAGTGTTAAAAATTCTCTCACAGCACGCATTTAATAGCTTTCTGCATTGACACTAACTATAACTAAAATGCTGCGGTCTTGTATAAAGAAAATTTGTAAACAAAGGCTTACTCGGTCCACACACCGAAAGTCTTCTGAAAGCGCTACAGGTACACGAACGGCCGGTTTTTACTTAGAAAATGGCTGCATCTTAAGAGATGCTTGCGGAACCAAGCGATGAAGTCGTCGTGAGCTTCTTCAGCGCTCTTTACGTGTCTGTTTCCAAAGGTGCATTGATCAGCGAAGAGTAAATAGAGACTACAGTAATCAAAGTTTACTTTCTCTGCTTTCTCAAGGAATACCTTAACAAGTTCAATGGGCAAGATTGATCGACTTCTGCTGCTAGAAATGCGATGGGTGGTTTACGAGCTGGTAATCAAAGTGAAATCAGAAAAATCACGACTGAAGAATATGACTTACCAGTGAAAACAGGGTGACATGCGTTTCAATCCGAGCTTTCCTTGTCAATGGTGGTTGCAACCTTCGCTGTGGAGGCAGCAGCAGCAAATTCAGATTCGAGATGATCACAAGGCAGTCTTACCCAATGGAAGTGATGCCCTTCGACTGGAGAATGCCAATGAGCTTTTTGGAATCGTCCGCTTCAGCTGGATTAATTCCAAAGTCAGGAACAGAAATTTGTTCTTGTGAAGCCGTTTTTACTTCAGGTTTATGATTTGGAAGCCGGCAGCCAGGTCTCAATTGATGGCGTTGCGTAAGTGTTTGCTGCCGCTACCTTTGTCCACAAGCTTCCTGTTAGGAACAAAAATGTCAATCTCAACTTCCTGTTAGCCAAACACTTCCATAGATATAAATAAATCTAAAACCACTGTTATATATACATCTTTAACAGCTTCCTAGCTATCTTCCTATCCATATCGTTTTAATTTCATGTTGCAAGTCACCAAAAGAATAAACGATAAATTAATCGAAAATGTTATATTTTATTTAGATATTAAATTTAAATTCGAATAAAAAAGTCAATGAAAGTCAAAATAATGTCCATTGTGGTAAATCCACTACTCGCTAGACGAAGAGCTGTAGATGGCGTAGGCGAAGAGGCCCAGCGCTAGAATGTAGGTGGCGCTGGCAGGGATGTGAGGTATCCACGAGTCCTCCCGGCCCAGTCGCCGCACCGCCGCCCACACGTCCCTCTCGCTCTCGGCGCTCGCGTCCCTGGCCACCGCCAGCGCCGCGCTCAACCCGTCCACCTCGTGCCGCAGCTGGAGGAGCTGCTCCTCCGCCTTGACCATGGCCTCCATGGATCCCGCCATGATCTCCTTCATCTGCTGCTCCAGCCCCGCCCTTGCCGCGTCCAGATCGATGGCGTGCCCGCCCTGCAGCTGGTCCTCGGCGATCTGCCGCTGCAGAAGCGCCACCTTCTCCATCCCGCGCTGCGAGTTCTCGCGCAGGAGCGCGATGCTGTGCCGGATGGCGTCCAGGCCGTGCTCGGACGAGCACATCTCCTCCGCCGCCGAGGCCTCTGCCACTGCCCTCTCCCTCTCCGCCTTAACGGCCCTCAGCTCCGTCTCGAGCTCCACCACCCTCTCCTCCAGCAGCTGGACGTGCCCCAGCAGCGATTTCTCCTGCTTCTCCAGCTGCCCCGAGCGCTCGATCGCCGCCTCGAGCGCGCGCTCCAGCTTAGACCTCTCCTCCCGAGACCGCCCCTCCTCCGCCTTGAGCGCCTGGATGAGCTCCCGCGCCTCGCCCACCTCCTCCTTGGCCTTCATCACCATGCCGGAGAAGCGCTTGAGCTCCTTGCGCAGCGCGCCCTTGCACGACTGCAGCCCGTTGAGCTCGATCTTCTTGGCGATCTCCGAGATGAAGGACTGGTGCTGGAGGCGGTGGCCCAGGCTGTCGATCTCCTCCACCGCCACCGCGACCACCGCCTCGGCGTCCTCGGCGCGCTTGGAGCTCTCCTTCACCTTCTTGTCGCTCTCCACCAGCTGCGACTCGAGCGAGCCCTTGGCGTCGAGCAGCGTCAGCTTCTCCGACTCCACCTTGCGCTTCTCGTGCGTCAGCGCCTGGATCTTGCTCTCCCGTCCGGCCAGATCCGCGCGGGACTCGTCCACTCGCCCCTCCAGCTCGCGCTTCTCCTGCTCCAGGCTCAAGATCTTGTCCCCGATGGTGCGCAAATCGTCCTCGAGGGTGTTGACTCTCTCCGCGAGGTTGCGCTTGTCCTGCTGGAGCCCCGACACCTCCTTGGACAGCGCGCTGTTGAGCTCCGTCAAGCTCAGGATCTTCTCCTTTTGCTCCACCGCGAGGGAGACTCTCCGGGGCGGGCTGGCGAAGTGGTCGTGCTGCTTGAGGCTCTTCCTCTTGGAGCTGCTGGTGGCAATGGTGGAGGTGGAGTTGCTGGAGCGGCTCCAGTCCCCATGGTAGGAATCTACCATACCGGGCTTGGTCTTGGGCGGTGACTGGAGCGACGCCGCCGCGCGCATCTTGGCGGCATTGGTGGGCGACGATGTGGAAGCGCTGGTGCTAGTGCTATAGCGCATCCGAGCACTGCTTCCTCCTCCTCCGGAATTAAACATCTGATGAGAACTGCGCGATTCCTTGGATCGATTCGATGGGTCCTCGCTGACAACATCCAGAGAGATTTGGGAGCGTTGCCGATCCCCTACTCGTCTTCTTCTTCTTCACGGGATTCATTCACAGACGCGCAAGCCCGACGCGAACGACGAGACTTGATTGATGATGCGAACCGCCGCGTCTTAACTGTAAGAATGTCCCAGTCCCGTGACATTGCTAGAACTCCGTACCAACTAACACGTACGATATTGCCATCCGTGCAAAAAACTTGTACGAAGGGAAAAATGTATTTACAATCGGCTACAAAAGAGGCTCTCTTCGTTTTTCGTTCGTTTTCCTCTCATTGTTTTCGGTTTCTCGTCATGGACTGGAAAGTCGGCCTCCCATTGACTCCATGCCGGTGCCGTTTTGCACCAATAAGTCGTAATTGATGGACGCGAGCTGCGAGAGGTTCTGAAAATTTGGTTTTTCCACCGCGGCAGTGAGATGGAGATGAGAGTTGGGTGAGAAGATGGAGTGGGGGATGGAAGAAAAATGGGAGAGAGAGAGGGAGAGTCTCGCATACCTTGAAAGAGAAGTTGCTAAATGTGACGTGGGAGAATGATCCAAACTCGGTGAGCTCATGGCAATCGTCATCGGCCTATAGCAATGGAAAGCTATAAGAAAGAGTGTAAAGATTTGCTTCGCTTACCTCGTCGCCAAGCTTGTTTTCAAACAAGTCCATGCTGCAGGTACTCCCGAATGAATCCTCTTCCTCGATGCTGTCCATGGACCTGGACCTCGAGTTGAAGTAACTGGTATCATGCTGGTCACTCGGGCATGGAACGAATGCTGCCTGTTATCACAGCGAAACGAAACGCCATTAGATTGAAGAGATTGCTTTCTCTTGTACCTTCTGTTGCGCAAGCATGTCCCACTTCACATCCTTGAAAAATGGATGCGCCTTCACCTCTCCGGCACCCCGGTAACCCAAGCGTCGTTTTGGATCATCGGTGAGGAGCCTGTGTAAGTTTCGTTTCTGAGATGGAGCTCTGGTGTATTGAAGCTCATACCTGTTTATTAGATCACAGGCGTCATATGATACATCTTCCGGGACTCGCGGCCAGGAAATCTTCTTGTTAAGGATGTTGTCGAAGATGATCTGCAGAAAGAGCGTTATAATTGACAAAATGATTCCTCGGTAGGCACCTGAGGATGCTCGGCATTGAATGGAGGAACACCAGTGAGAAACTCGTACAAGATAATCCCAACAGACCACCAGTCGGCGGCATGGTCTACAATGAAAACAACAATCCGTAAGAAAAGTGCTATCAAAACAGTACAATGAAAACAACAATTCGTGTCAGTAAGAAAAACGTTACCATGTTCAGTTCCCAGCAAAATCTCAGGGGCCAGGTAGTCAGGCGTCCCCACTGCTGATTTTAGCTGATTATGTTCCCTATCGTCATTCATAGCAATAGCAAGGTCGTCAGTGCTATTGATAAGACCCATTCTTGATAAACCGAAGTCGGTCAGCTGAAAGCACAATTTTAGTCACTTAAAAACCACCATTCACTTACTTTGATATGTCCATCGTGCGCAATCAGTATGTTCCCAGGCTTCAAGTCTCGGTGTACAACTCCTAAAGAGTGCAGATACTCTAGCGCCAGGACCTGTATATAACGTCACAACATACTCAGGGTCTTCCTAACTACGTACGAGCTCAGCGATGTAAACGCGTGCCATGTCCTCCTCAAGGCATCCCATACTCATGAGCAATGAGTATAGATCGCCTCCGTTCAGGTACTCCATGACTAAGTAAAGGTTCTCGCTGCATGTGAAAGAATAGAAAAAACGGACCTACAAACCAAATGTTAAGCAGGGTTTGAGACGTCAAACTTGTGAACTTACCACAAATGGATTTCGAGCAGAGATAAGGATGTTGCGCTCAGCCTGAACACTCCGTACGGCATTTTTTCGTATCATGTCAGATTTTCGAAGAACCTGATTAAAGCATAACAGATTTTTTTTTTTTGAAATCTACGAATATAAATGATAGCTCCAGACCTTGACAGCAAACAGATCACCAGTAGTCTTTTTTCTGGCCAAAAACACCCTCCCAAACGCGCCACGACTGATAGGCTTGATAATTTCGAAGTCCTCAATGCTGGTTCTGTGCTTACAAGGTAAAGGTGCAGGTTCCTTTGATACACAGTCATTATGCTCACAAGCTTTAGAAGCTTCCAAGTACTTTTGCCTGCAACAGCATTTTCAGTAGCTCCAACGAACACTACATCAACACAACGAACTTACCTGACAAGAGATCTTATTCTCTCTCCATATGTAATTGCCGTCAAACCTTCGGCCTTACAATCATGAAGGATTTTTTCAACGTTCTGACTGCAAACACTCAAATGTTCCAGAGCAGACTCGTCTAGGACGTTCACTCTTGCGACACATCTAGCAAGATATGCCAGTTCTTCAATCTGTGTGTAGAGAAGAAACTTTTATCACGAGCAAAGAAAATATAAATGTTACCTCGTAGACATCATCCGCTTCCTCCATGGAACCAGAGGAAAACGGAGACCGGGGAGTGTTATCGTCTGTTCGCTTAGGAGACAAACTGTCACCTTCTGCCTGGCTTTTCGGTGAGCAAGTCTCTACGACTTTTTCCAAAGTCTCAGCGAGTCTGTTTAACCTGTCATCGAACCCCAGCTTGTCATGATCGCACCGATCAGCAGCCGCGCATACACGCGAATGTCCTTCAAAGAAAAACGCTGGAACCCGTAATTCACATATCCGGCAAACAAGCCCGTTGCTTGACTGCTCCAGTTGACGAGAACCATCTTTCGCTGTGTTTTCATCTTGGTTTTTGTTGAGGACCCTGTCTTCAAGCTTTAACGACTTCAGTGTTGCCGGACAGGACCGCGAATCCTTTCCATCCGTTGCATCAGCGATGGTGTCGGACTTTGGATGTCTCGGAAACCTGTTCAGGCAGCCATCCTTGTTCAGACCGTTTTCGTTCCGGAACTGGAGCAAGCGAGTACAGCGTGTGAGGATGAAGAGAATGCGCGTGAAAAGCTGCTTCAGCAGACCATTTGACTGCTCTTGCCTCTTCTCATCGAGCGCCTGGACCACACGCTCACACTGCTGCTGAAAGTCGAAGGGCGTCATCGTAAGACATGCCCGGGCCACAGCCAGCAGCTCTTCGAAGCCTTTCTCTTCCCCGGGAGGCACGTCTCCTGTCCGCAGAATCTCCTTTAACTCTAGCTCAAACGCCGCAAGCTCTGCATTTACTTCCTCCTTTGCCAAGTTGAATTTTTCACGTAAAGCTGAGATGATTTCCTGAAAAGGTGGTGTAAAAAAGAAGAACAAAAAGAACAAAAAAAGAAAGTGCACACCAACCTCAACGTCGTTAAAGCTGTGAGGCCGCCAATACATGTTTGCGTGTAGATCTTTTGCCTCTACCTCAAAGCTCTTGTTGAGGCTTCGTAGCTTGGTTTTCTTTAAGCCGCTCGTAAGCTGTAGCAGCGCTTGAAACCTTGGAGAATCAGTATCCTTCCCAAAATCGGAGATGCGGGGACTCTATAAAACCGGAACATAGATTTTAGCTAATTTGGAACTTGAGAAAAGAAAAAAAGAAAGTAAGCCGTACCTCAAACCCTGTGGAAGAACACTGCTCATTCTTTCCGGCCGATGCTCCTATAGGGACAAAATAGAATTCGATATACCGAATTATACTTTACTTCGCCATACCTGGAGACAGTGATGCGATCGCCCGCGGCAGAGGAGAGGGCGAAATATTCTCATTCCCGGGAGGTGGAGATTGCTCCGACCTGAGTTTGAGAGGAGTCAGAGGCGAAGCTCGAGGCGGGGATTCATCATCCGGACCTTTGGGAGGAGCATCGATCCGATCACCGCTGGGAGTCGCGGATTCCTGGCTCTGCCTGACCAACTGCCGCATCAAACTGCTGATCATTGCCGCCAAGAAGCCTCATTGAGCGAAGATTTCCATCAATCCCCCCCCAGGCGACGCACGCAATCGCAATGAATCGCCGAGAGGCCAAAACAAGAAAAGCCCCAGCGCCGGCGCGAGCCCGATCGCGGCGAGGAATCCGTGCGGCAGAGGAGAAATCAATCCCTCCAGCGGCGGCGCGGCTGGGGACCTGGGATTACCGCCGCCTCCTCTTGATCGATCTATGGCGTCATTGATCCCCAGAGACGAAAGAATCGCTCAGGGGCTCGCCGCCCCCGCCCGTTGAAACAGTGCACGTCATCACGCCCACCTCCTAGTTTAACCGCAGTGAGACCTAACCGGACGGCGACGTGGCGCGCTTCCGGCCGTTGGGGCCCATGGTCACAATACATCCGTGCCATCGGATCGCATTAAATTCGTTATCTTCGTTTTCAAAAATATTTACCATGGCGCCAAGCTAAGCTCATTCTTTTAGAATATTCTCTTTTTCCCCCTCCCTCACTTTGCCCTAACTCTATTCGAATTTTTAGGGCAGAGGGGACAGTTTCACAAATGGCGCCCAAGAAAGCAGCTCCTGGTAAAATGCTTCGATCTTCCCTCCATCCGCGCGTCTAATCCATGGCTCCAGCGCCCGTGGAGCCCGTGAAGAGCACTGGGAAGTTCTACTATCCTGGCGGCGGGACTTATGGTAAATTCTTGCTCAATTCTCGCAGTCCGCGATGATTGATTCGATCATCGATTGTTTCTTTGCAGAAGGAGATTGGATCTTGCAGCCGCCGCTGCCTCCAGTGCCTGGCGCGCCGCCCCCGGCCGATCCAGCCGCCGCAGGTATTCCCCCAATTTTCGACAAGGAAGAACTTTGGATGCTTTCTATAACTTCGATGTTTCTTCTTACAAGGTAGATAAACCCAAGCGACTTCGCGATGGGAAAGGCCACTACATCGATGGCAATTACTCCTACGAGGGAGAATGGAAGAACGATTTGATGCACGGCCCAGGTAGACGAGGCGAGAAAATCTATCAGAGTTAACAAGTAGATGACCAACAGGATCATTCAAGTATGCTAGCGGTGCCTCGTACGAAGGGACCTGGGAGAATGGCAAGTATCACGGCAATGGAACTTTCAAGGTAGAGTTCTTCGTCCACAAACTCTCTCTTTTCTCTGAGAACTCGCGCTGGATCAAAGTGGCCAGATGGAAGATCCTACGCTGGTGAATGGCGAGAAAACCGGATGCACGGGATCGGATCTTACGTTGACAACGAAGGCCACACTTGGACTGGCCAGTTTTTCAATGGAGCTGGACCGGGGCTCAATTGCGAGCTCACTTGATCGTCATGTTGGCTGCTCTTCCTGTCAATTGAGATTCGTTTTACAATCGTGACAGTTACCTGTGTTTTCAAGTAGTTTTTTCCTATAGTAGAGTACACTCTTGCGAGATCCTTACGAAATGTAGGCCTTGTGAACTTCGCTCATGCTGCAAACGTAGCCAGTCTTGGGGCACGTAATCTTCCCTTCGGCTCGGATCATTTCGTCCAAGGCCTGTGTGGACATGGAGTAAAGTTTTGACTTGTAGAAAAGGGAAGACGATGACACGAAAGTGATGAACGAACCTTTTTGCTGTAGACATAACCATTTGGTAGAACAAGTGGAGGATTGTCTTCGTCCATAAGTTCCTTGGTAATGTAGCACACGAGCTTCGAGTGAATGTGCTTTGCGTATGGAAGTGGCTCTGCGAGCTTGCGGATGTTTTCCTGTGACAAAGGGTCTTCCTTCGTGCAGCTTTCTTCGTAGCAAAATCTGGAAGGAAGAAAGAGTAGATCTTTAGAGAAAGCGCAGAAAGCGGATAGATATAGATCACTTACGGCGTCTTAAGCGCTGATAAACCGGCCTGCATATGTAAGTGTAGAAGCGGCTCGTTGGTCATTCCGTAAAGCTTGTAGAATTCTTGCTTGAATTGCTCGACAAGGCTATCCCATTGACTGTCTTCGAAGAAAGCCTGCACAAGTTGAAATTACAAAACGATGAGAAAGTTGGTCAAGCAAGCGGGATACGCTAGACGAAGGAAAAATACCACGCTAGACCTTATAGCCCGCACAATCGGTACTGCTCTTGAAAGCAAGCGTTGCCATAGCCTGCTGAAGCTCCTTTAGATTAGTGCTACCCCACGGAGACAAGAACTTGCGAGCGTAGATAATTGCGTCCATCATACGTTCGCTTCGAACCAGTTCAATGAATTCCTGTAGTCTGAGTTTGAACTCAAGCTTGCTCTGCAAAGCAATCGCTGGTAAGTTGGTCAAAGAAGCAAGAGTTGCAGACCTTATACTTCTTTAGTTTGGACTTGTTCTCGGTGCACCATGCCAAGGCCTCGGAACAGTCTTTTTTGCGGAGTGATTCGATAACTCGGTGCGCATCTACAAAAATATCGGCATCGCAAAGTTCCTGAAGATGAGTAGCTTCAGTATAGCCATAGCCAACTCCTTAATTGTCTCAGTCGCGATCTGAGAGAGTGAAGGGTTCTTACCTGGATGTTAGAAGATTCCGTGAGCAACTGGGCCGTGCTATAGTAGCAATTGCGAAGTAAGTAGTCGACAATGATCCTGTCGACCCGCAATTCATTCCATTTCTTCTGGCAATCTTTGTCCCCGTCGCGGAGCATCGTTAAGTGATCCATTCTCGCTCGGCATCTCTGGACCTGGACGTGCTCGAGCTTGTTGCTCTCATCCAGCTGCGAAGAAAGATCAGATCAATCCATCCAGACGAAACCAAAGCAAACCTTGCGTTTGAGGCCTTGGAGACGCGAGACGAGCGACGTAAGCTGCTCCACCGCCTCTTGTTTCGAGAGATTTTTATCCACAGCCACGGCGACCCCAGCGACCACGGCGTTCACCTCCTTCTCCACCATCCTGGTACTCGTCCGGAGTGATTTCTTGAGGTGCTCGTAGGGAACTCTCACGAGCTGGTGCTCCAACTTGAGAGATTCCAGGCTGTGATCGTTGCTGGCGCCCCGCGCCGCCGAAACCCCTGGATTCCCCCCGGCTGCGAACCCGTTGACGACAATCCTATCGCCCTCCATTCGCGACACCAAGCCACCACTGCGCATTCCCTGCTCACAGCTCGCAAGAAAATGGAATTCGCAAACCTAGTCTCGAAGAATTGGAACCCCCCTGACGATGGAGAAGCGCCACGCGCCGCCAAAGATGAGCAAAGCAGAGAGAGAGAGAGAGAGAGAGAGAGAGAGAGAGAGAGAGACGGAGCCTTCCCGAGATCCCCTCTTCAGGGATCAGCCAGACAGAATATGCCCTACCCCAAGGATCGCGACGCTAGAAGCATATTCCTTCAGGCCCCGCACGAAGATAACCTAAATTCCGGTCACGCGAGGCAGCTCGCTGGGACGACGCTGCCGGATGAAACACCGAACGCATTGGAGCAGCTTGCCGAGGCTTGAGCTCCCGAGCTCTGCGTGAGATTGATGTCGTGGAGGAGGAGATCAAGGCAGGGAAGCGAGGCACTGCAATCGAAGCTCGTGGCGATGGCGGTCGCGGAGGTTCCCCGGATGTGAAGATACTCGACGCTCTTCACCTGGACGGCCGATCCCTGCGAAAGAATTGCAAGGATCGATGAAATATCGCGAAGAAAAAGCTCTACCTGTGGCGAGCAGGGGCGCAGCGCGTCGCAGTAATTCTGATCGATGATGATGGGATTCGCAACGCCGCTCATCGATACATTCTCGAATCGGATGTTGCTGGCGCTGCCGCGGCCTCCCTGCCGCGATCAAAATCGATATTTCAGCCCTGATCTATGCAATCGATCGGTCGATCGATGGATCGGAGACGCCAAAATCCCCAAACCCTACATTTTACCTGCCATGTCTTGATCCTCAGCCCATTCATGGTTCCAGTTATTTGCACGCGATGCACAAGAACGCTGGAAACATAAGCTGCGCTTTCTCCCTTGCCAAGGCTCCCAATGCTGCTAATTAATCTCGCTTATCAGCCACCAATACGTGATTAATCAGCACTAACCTGATGCCATGGCCAGGGCCACACTCGCAATCCCTGATCACGACATTGGACGACCCCGATCCAATCGACACACAATCGTCGCCTGGGAAAAAAGGAGTGATTCGTACGAAACCCTAAAAGGCATTTTGCCGTACTACCTGTGCCAATGGCCGCGTGTTCTACTGTCACATTCGTGGACGATTCGATGTGAATGCCGTCGGTGTTTGGGCTATTTTGTGGATTCTCTATCCTTATTTTCGCGACGATCACGTCGTGGCATGACACGAACGCGACGTTCATCTGCTGGCTGTTTTGGATGCGAATGCCGCTCATGTTTAGCCCCGTCGATCCAAACACCCACAATGCCTGCGCAAGGATACATATAAGATAATCTATTGAAGTTTCGATCGAGAGCTTCGGGAGATCATAGAAAGGAGATTTACTGTTGGGGCATCTTCGTCATTGCATCCCTGTGAATATATGATAGATATGTATATCAAGGATCTGAATTCGTATAACTAGAAACTTACAGGAGAAGGGTTGTGTTTGCAAGAGATGTTCCACCACGTTTGACCCCGCCCATCAATTGTTCCGATTCCAGTGATGCTAAAACTCGTGAGCTTGACGATGGAGATCCACGAGTTCCTCTGCCCAGGCTCGTATTGATCCGGGCTCCCGGGAGCTACAATGGTTCCATCGATCTTGGCAACCAAGATAATTAGAATTTGGAGAGCCTTGAATCTGCTTGATGATTTGAGCAATCACCTGCATTGTCATGTTGGATTTGCATGGTCCTTTGAAAGATGCCGGCCAGATCAAGAAGGTGAATGACTGTGGGATGAGAAAAACGGAGTCTTCCACCAAGCAAGCAGCGTTCCAAGCATCTAGGAAGGCCTTTAATCCTCTTAATTTTCGTGACTAATCTCGTGCTGACTGAGGTTTGACTCACCTGAGTATCGTTTTGAATTCCATCTCCCCGGGCGTTGAATTGCCTGACATTGAATACGTTTGGTTCTCCGGAAGAAATCATATTTGTACGAGCGGAATCGAGACTCGGGAAGATCACAAAGATCGTGAGGAGAAACTCCCACATTCCCTCAAACGCATTGTTATTCTGCTCAAAATCTCGCGCATTTTAAACTCGCTTAAAACTGAGCTTTTGGATTGTCTTCTGTTGGCATTTGGCCGCCGATTACATTACATTTTAATCGCGCGCTCGAGCTCGAGGTGGCCGAGAATTGGATCTTCTCAGCAGCAACTTCTTCACGGAATGTCCGAGCTAGAAACATGACAAGAGGAAAAGGAAAAGATTCCTAAAGCACCATGGAAACATCCAGCGAATAAAAGTATGGAAGAATCCTTCTCGACCCGAATTTAAAGCCTTGACCTCTCGACCAAACCGCATTGACCTCTATGATTCCTTGAGAGGAACCAAACAAAAATTCTCACCACCTTTTCTTACTAGCGTAACTCATGAGATTATAACTCGTAATCGTACAAATCTTTCTCCTATAGTCACTTTCCTCCAACTACTTGCAAGAATCGAAACAATAACAACAAGATGTGTGAATAGCGAGCGAGTGAAACCTACGTATACCAACCTTGCTCATCAAGGAAAAGCGCTCATAAAGCTTCCACTAACGCGCCCATTGATCCTGCCACGATACTCTAAAGATTCCTCGTTCGATCGATCCCTCTAAAGCTTGGTCTTGTGCGAGCACTTGAAATCCTGGACGTTCCGGCTGGCCACGGAGATGGTCACATTGCAAACCGAGGTGGACGTAGCATGGCGCTTGATAACGTTGAGAACGTTAACCCGGCCCGAGACGACGGTCCGGGTGGAGATCGGGATGGAGCCCGAGGCCACGTCCGGCAAGAGATTGGAGTTTCCAACGATTTGCATCGCCTGGATGCTAACATCGGTGGGGAATTTCTCGCGGCCGCGCGCTCCAATCTCCCCTGCTGGGATCCTGGCGTTGCCAACCTCGTCGCCGTGGTACGTGATCACGCTGGTGGAGTTTGTGTACTTGAAGCTCGCCCGGTTTGGATTGTAGACCGACACCCACATCGTGAGGCCGAGCTCCAGCCGCGGGGACAAGAGATTGAGCGAGACGTTGAAGGATTGGAGCTGGACTGAGTCGATCGAGATGACAGGGCTCTTGGGCTTGAAGACGGTGAGCGCCAGGATGAGGAGGAGGATGCCAATCACCACCAGCACCGCCAGAGTGATCCCGCCGCACACCAGGCATTTCCTCCTCCGGCTGTAGCGCTTGCTCCTGCCATCGCTGGGCGGGCTGCTGTCGAGCTTGGAGTGGGGGCCGAATCCATTCCCATTCGTCGCCATTGATCCTAGGATCCTCTCGATCGATGAATGCGCGCTTGCTTTTTCGCCTGCTATTTTCTCGCGAGCTAATGTCTATCTATACGAGGGACGAGCATCGATCGATGGATGGAGAGGAGCAATGCGTTAATCTCTTTTTGTGTTTGATCTTACCTGGGCGGGCGAGAGGGAGGCAGCAGTGGCAGTTTTATAGCGGGCAGCAAAGACGCCATAGCCAGCGGCTGGGCAGAGACTTCACACACTCTCTGTGTTGTACAGAGGAGGGAGGAGAGAGAGTGTGTGTGTCACTTTCCCATTTTCTCTATTTGTCGTCCGGGCGCCACGTCAGCGCCGGATTTGTGCTACTCGCGGACCGCCAGATCATTTCTTTTTTCTCCTCTGGTGGGTGGGATGAAATAAATGATCGCGTTGCGGTTCTTGCGCGTTGGCAAGAATATGCTCTAGAATATTACCGTTTGACCGGGTTGTGGATTAAGGCGATGCGTGATTAGTGTGTAGTATCAGAGTGGCGCAGCGGAAGCGTATTGGGCCCATAACCCAAGGGTCGGAGGATCGAAACCTCTCTCTGATAAATATGCCAGTGAAGGACAAAGGCGGCTTGTACCTCTTTTTGGGAATTTCTTCTTCTCCGGGTAGGGCAAATGATTTTTTCTCCACGGTAGCAACAGGAACGCGGATTGGGAGCGAGGGAGCGGCGAAATCTCCAACTCCAGCGCGGGATTTTTCTCGGCCATTTCGCGCAGGCATGCCTCGGAGCCGGGCCGATGGCGCTGGCGGCTCGTCGATGGAGCTGCATTTCTCGCAGGATTTTGGAATCGAGGTGGAGGACGATGGGGAGGAGCTCGCCGGGAGGGAATTGGCCGTTCCCGGCGGCAGGCACGAGCATCTACTCAAGTCTGGATTGCTGGGGCGCTGCGATGATCCATTTTGCACGACCTGCCCTTCGTATATCGATTATTCGGCCGGCAGCCAGGTAGAGCAAGAAGAATTCTTTAGGCTTGATTTGATTGAGACTTAGCTGTGAAAGAATTCCAGATGAAAAAGAGTCGCAACCTTTTCAGCGAGGCTAAATCGGTAGCGCTCGGGATTGTCAAGTGGAGGCCAGCGATTTATAATCCCCACACCAAAGTCATCCAGAGATGGAATCAAGTGTTTGGAGTATGCTGTCTCATCGCCGTCTTTGTGGATCCTTTGTTCTTCTTTATATTTTCCGCCAAGCAGGTAATTTCTATGCGAAGAAGCAAAAGCTTTATACTCATGCTTGTCTTGTTCATTCTCTAGGGATACTTTTGCATTGTCTTCAACCAGGAGTTAGCCATTGGAGTGACTATTGTGAGGAGCATTTTTGATGGAATTTACTTTATACACATGCTTCTTCAGGTATCTTGTTCTTAGCTTTTTCCTTTGATTTTCTCGATTGATAGAGCACGCTGTTTAATGGATGGCAGTTCAGATTGGCGTACTTTGCGCTTGCTTCTCAAACATCTGGAACTGGTGTTTTGATTGACGATCCCAAAACTATTGCCTTGCATTATTTGCAAAGTTGGTTTATAGTTGATGTGGTTGCAGTGCTTCCACTACCCCAGGTAAGCTGCTGAAGGCAGTAAAATTTGAGCTCGTAATTTATGATTTGATACAGGTGATGCTGTGGACAGTGGTAAGATCTCCCAGAAGAGGTGGTGATGCAAATTATGTGAAGAATCTCCTTCGTTTTGTCGTTCTGCTGCAATACATACCCAGGATGGTCAGGTTTTTGCCGTTGCTGTTTGGTCGCTCTCAGAGTGGCGGCTACATCTTTGAAACTGCTTGGGCCAACTTCACCATCAATCTGTTCATCTACCTGCTTGCGGGTCATGTGGTGGGATCATGCTGGTACTTGTTCGGTCTACAGGTAACTGAGAAACACGGGTTATAGTCTCATAGTACTGATGTTGCCTATAATTTGCAGCGTGTAAATCAGTGCCTGATAAACACTTGTCGAGCTGAAAGGCCAGTCTGCAGAAAAGAATTTCTTGACTGTGGAAATGGGCACAACATTCAGGCACTGCAGCAAGGGGCCCGGCTGGTCTGGACTAATTCCTCAAATGCATCGAGTAAATGTCTGGTGAATGCATCTTTCGCTTATGGCATCTATTCGATCGCAGTTCCTGTCGCCATGGACGACAGTGCAATTCACAAATACGTATACTCGCTATTTTGGGGATTCTTGGTAAGAATGACTGCTATTTTTCTTGTTTCCTCACATTATATCTTTTAGCAAATTAGTACGCTCGCTGGGAACTTGCAGCCTAGCCTTTTTGTTGGTGAAGTGTTTTTCACTTTCGGTGTTATTGGTCTGGGACTACTTTTGTTTGCACTTCTTATTGGAAACATGCAAAATTTTCTCCAGTCCCTTGGACGCAGGTATGCATGTCAGTTTTTGTCGAAAATTACATAACAGATATCTTTGTCAGGCACCTTGAGATGCAGCTACGACGACATGATGTTGAGAGATGGATGAGGCGACGGGAATTACCTGTAGTTTTAAGAAAGTATGTCGTATTGCTGTCCTTATTTTTCCTTCCTAACGCGTACTCACAGGCGCGTGAGACAGGCGGTGAGATTGAAATGGGCATCGACCAGAGGTGTGAATGAGGAGGAACTCTTGGATCGTTTGCCCGAAGATATGCAAAAAGAAATACGTCGCTTTTTGTGCTTCGAGCTCTTGACGAAGGTTTGTGTTCAGCATTTTGGTGTTGTTGCTGAATTAATTCATGTTTACCAGGTTCGGCTGTTTACTGTGATGGATGACAAAGTTCTCGATGCAATTTGTCAAAGACTTCACGAGATGTTGTACATTGAAGGCAGCGAAGTTTTTTTAGCAGATGCTCCAATACATCGCATGATCTTTGTAGTACGTGGTACTCTAGAGAGCGTATGGAAGAATGGCAATACACATACGCTTGTGTCGGGCGACTTTTGTGGGGAGGAGCTACTACATCTGTGCCTCAACGAAGCGTTAAACACCAGTAAGTATTTTACAATTTCATTGACTTTTTGAACTCATGTTTGTCTCTTACAGGAGAAACATCAAATAGCGAGCACAGCAGAAGGGATAGTTCAGCTCCAACAAGGGGTTTGGCTTTCTCTACGAGGACTGTTCGTTGCTCAAGTAGCGTGGAAGCATTCAGCCTAGAGGAGAAGGATTTGCGGTATGTTGTAGCAAACTACATAAGCTATATCCGCAATCCCAGGGTCCTGAGTGCTCTCAAGTAAGTATCTTAACGCAGCATTCCCTTTTACATAGCTGCTTGTGCAGAAGCGAGTCCCACTACTTCAGAAGCAACGCAGCTAGACGGATTCAGGCAGCCTGGAAATCACATATTCGAAGACAGAGCCGAAATCCGTTACGGTCATAGTTGAGGCTTACAGGTTCTGTTTCATCGCGGAACGAATGGATCTATAGTAATGCCTGGTCCTGAAAGCTAGGAATACACTTATCAGGCAACCGAAGACGCAGACGGCAGCCATGATGAGGAGACTGTTTCGGAAGCACTGAGGTCCATAGCACAGTAGATCATGCGACGACGACGAGGATGTTCCGTTTTGCGGCTGTTTTGCGGCCTCGACGTCGTAGAGGTGGCCGGCAGTCTTGACGGAGAGGAGATAAGTTCCCAGAGGACTGGCCAGGATCCCGACGTTGTACAAAGTTCCGAAGTATTTGAGGCCAAAGATCTCGGAGATGATAGCGAACATGACCGGCATTTGAGCTCCAAAGCACATCCCGACGAGAATGGAGCCGATGTAGAAAGCTCCAGGCCAGGCGAAGGCCAGGTAGAGGTGGCCGACCGCGAGAATTCCCAGAACGAGAGCCAGGAAGACCGGCCTCGGAGCTCCGTGTTTCTGGAGGAAGATCTCTGACACAAATCCAAAGCCCACTCTGCCAAAGAAGTTCCAGATGCTGACGAGCGAGACAAAGGTGGCGATGTTACTCTGCGAGTAGCCGAGAGAGGATCCCATCTGGCCCAAGTTGTCGACCACCATGAGGCCGGATCCCAGGCCTGCGGTGGTGGCAAAGAAGACGATCCACAGATCTAAGCTCACCAGCGCTTGCAGAACGGTGTGGTCCTCTCCCCTCGGCGGCATTTGCCTGATCTCGTCCGCCAACTTTCGAAGACACTGCTTGGCTGAGGAAGAGCAACTTACTCGAAGACGGGGCGTGCCTGTTACTGATGGAGGATCGATCACCTCCTGTCTCCGCACGGACTCTTCGTCATCGGCTTCGTGGTGCTGCTGGTTTTGGATGGGAGCGGTATGATCTTCCACCACCTTGCTCTTGGGAGAGGAGTTGAGCTGCTCGTGATCACTCGGGTGTTGATCGTCAGAAGCTGGAACCGGGGCAGGACTTGAGTTGCGGCCACTCTTCCTCACGGACTCCACGGCAACGACGATCGGAAGCGCCAGAATGAGGATCATGACTGCCATGAACGCCTGGTTCGCGCTGGCGGAGACGTCCACTAGATGCTGGACAACGATGACGATCATGAGGAAGATCGCTAACAGGATCGCCATTGCAAGGAAGACGTAGAAGTTCCTCATCTCCAGTCGCTTCTCCTCCGCATCACCATCACCGGAAGAAATGGGAGCAGTGGAATGCGGAAGAGGCCGGATGACAAACATGAAGAGCAGGAAGACGAAGGTGGGGAACCAGGCAACGACGAGCATGAACGAGGCGGGGTCGCTGCCACTGTAGAGGGTCCGATAGATCTGCGTGAGCATCGCGCCGGAGAGGCCGACGAATCCTTTGAGCAGGCCGATGACGATGCCGCGGCTCCGGGGGAAGTTCTTGACGCAGCTGACGATGACGGCGGTGCTGGCAAAGGCCCCGGAGCTGGCCCCGACCCAGAGATAGAGGCAGAGGTGCCACACCCGAGGGGGGTGAGGGAGGTGGGAGGTGATGGAGGCCCAGGCCATCATGTAGCCGAAGACGTTGAAGATGGCGGCGAGGAGGAGGACGAGCCAGGAGCCCGAGACGTCGTAGAGGATGCCGGCCAGGATGCCGATGTTGGCGCCCAGGTCCTTGAAGAAGCCGATGGTGCTCACGGTTTGCTGGTCGTAGTTGAGGGCCGTCTTGAGGCGCTGCGAGTAGATCCCGAAGCTGTAGAGCGCGCCGGCGCACGACATGACGAAGAAGGAGGCGACGAGCGTGAACCATTTGTCGGAGAAGATGCGCTTCCACCATCGCCGCCGCCCCCTGGTACTGCTGGTGCTGCTACTCATCGCCATTCTCTTCCCTTTCGCTTTGATCCTGGAGGCTCGCAGTGGATCGAGAGATCTGGCCTGGATAAGTCGGGGACACTGGAGGGAAGACGCTGACGGTCAAGAAGGAAAAGAAGTTGTGTTCGCTGCCATTCCTCGTCTTCTTTGTATGACTTTCGTGATTCTTCTTTTGTTATTTTTTTCTTTGTTTTCCCTTTCTGTAGTTGTTCCAATCCACCTCGGCTTTGCGTCAGTATAAATTCCAAAGGGCAGCCGGGATGATGAAACCGACATCGAGGACTTGGCTTTCACTTGGACTATCCGTGAGAATTAGAATAACCAAATGAGGTGATTTAAATATGTAATGGTTTCGTGGTCTAGTGGTGATGACACTGGACTCTGAATCCAGTAACCCGAGTTCAAATCTCGGCGAAACCTCTTAACTTATTGTATCGTTCTGCAAATCTCTACATTTGGATAATTATCTTCTCGGCTAATATATTTGCCAACTTTGTTATCAATACCTTGTTAGAACCTTTTCATTGAGAATATACGCGAAACTCGGGTTACTGCAGTGGCATAACCACTAGAATTACATATTTTAATGATTACGTGATACTCATACCAATTTGCACCTCCTCCACGCGCTTCCTCATCTTTTGGATTTGCTTCTCTCGTATTCTATATAAACGCATGTGTAGAGTTGAAAGAGATCATAGAACTCCATCGATAAAAAAATACTTGTAAGTGGAACACGAGCCTTGGCGTCCATAGAAAGCGTCGTAGCCATTGCAGCATTTAGAGTTCTTTCACTTGGTAAGTGATTATTTTTTAGGCGCTTGCGATGAACATCTTCCATCGCTTGACAGAAGATATCCACAGAACCAGAAGAGAAAACTCCCAATGTGGCTGCTACGATGGCACAACAAGAGGCGTTGCGTAAGCCTTGGGAGGATCATACCCATTACTCTTCTCCTCCGCCTCTTCTTCTTCCTCTTCTTCTTCTTCGCTTTCTTCCGGGAATGGCTCTTGCTCCATGGAAATCTCGCTGTGTTGTCCGTCTTCCTCTTTCTCTCCGGCACCAAGTCGGCCACGCACCGCCTTGTCAAGCTCCAAGCACAGCTTCACTGGATTGTACTCGATCTCTCCGGAGCTCAATCCCAAGAACCTGCTATCGCTCTCCACCGGATCCTCCACACGTCCGCCAGCCAGGGTGAAAAACTCCACCGTCCTGTTGCTGTGGCCCTTGCAAAGATCGCCCATGTCGTGCAGGAACTCGCAAACCGGCAGAAGTGGCTCTTTGCTGGACGCTCGGTACCCGTGCCTGCGAAGAATAGCTTCCAGACTGTAGCCTGTGAAATCCGTGAACCAGCCTTCCAGCAGCTCGCTCCAAACGCCACCGGGATTCTTCACCAGCGCCCAGTAGAGAACCTGCCTTAATCCTGCTCTTGTCACCCACACGATCCTCGAGTTTCTCGGGCTGTCGATGAGCCACACGCGATCGTTGCTCATCCGCAGCAGGCCCGGCGTTCTAGAGGCGAAGCTCTTCACCTGAGTTGCGTTGAGAGATCGTCCGCTTCTTTCCTTGTAGACTGAGACGAGATCTGGTAACAGCAAACCGCTTTCGGCGTGAGCTGGGGATCCGAGAATGAGTCGAAGCTGCTGCTCCAGAGCTTCACCGCTAGTCTCCATTTCCCCGTCACCATTATCGTCGTCATTTTCCACTTCCACCACTGGAGGGTACAAGGCCGCAAGTTGCACCACCTTAGGACTGGCGGCGCTCTCCTCTCCTTCCAAGCAAAGCTTTGCAATCTCGTCATCGGCTTGGCTGCACTCTGGAAGTTCCACCACAGGGAAGCTGGAATCTCTGAGCTTGAGAACGAGAGTCCCGTCCTCCCGAGAGCCAAATCTAATGAAGTCCATCATGTCGTCGACCACAAAACAAAACTGATGCAGCTCCAGCTCTTCTCCATACGCTTCCAAAATCTGAGACTGCTGGAGGTGGCTTACCACCTGTGCCGGCTCCAGACCATCAGGATAGCATTTCAGCAACGTTGAGAAGACGGCCAAACGGAGCCCGGAGCTCAAAGTCTTTAGCAGCCGGCTGTTCTTCTCTGACGGACGTAGAAAAACCTTGCGTGTCTCTTCTTGCACGAGCGCGATATCCGTCCAAGCACCAAGCAACTCCTCGATGTGGCTGAATCCCAGAACTCTACAGTCGAGATTTTCTGTGTACAGCTCTGCGAAGGTCTTTTGCAACCTGTTTATCTCCAAGCCCCGACTATGGAGTGCCAGCAAAACGATCATCTTGAACCTTGCTTGCAAAATGTCGTTTATCTCAGCGACAGCTTCATTGACATGCGAATCGCCATTCTCCTTGCCTAAACATTTCAAAGCTAAGTTGGCAGAACACACAAAGAGCTGAAACTTACTCGAGTGATGCAACCGGGGAACGCCGACTAAAATCCCGTCGGTAAGCGTGGGATCTTCAGCCTCGCTCGACAGAAAGACTCTTGATCCTCCTGGAGTAGAAAGCTGCCTGAAGCTGGCAATGTCTGCCATGTCTCGCACCATGCACTCTACGTTGGGAGTGTCATATGTGAGCTCGCTCAGAACAACGGAAAGAGGCCGGGCCAGCAACTTGGAGCATTCCTCGTCGAGAATGCCAGCGCTCACCCCTTTGGGATACTGCCTCAGTACGTGGAACACAATCCTCCTCAGCCCCGACCTTATACCAGCAACAATCCTCGTGTTCTTGGGCGATTCCACCAACAGAACTTGGCCGTGCTCGTCCAGAGCCTGTCGCTGGATTACGTGCGGCATCGACTTGCACAGGAGATCAGCAGAGCTGAATCCAGTCTTCTCCAGCAAACTCTTCCCAAAACGAAGCTTGTAAAAGTGTGGAAACGTAGAGACCTTGCGACCCGAGTTCTCGAATCCGGGGATAAGAGCCACCACCCTGACTTGGTACTGAACTTTAGCACGGAACTCTGGAGTCTCTTCCAAGAAGCTCTGCACCTCGTCCTGCTCGTCTTCTTCCTCGTCCCACGAAGACTGGGACGTGCATTCTGATTTTTCAGCCTCTTCTTCGTCCCACCCATTGTCGCACTTGATTCCAACAGACTGGTGATCCTCCTCCTCCCCGTGGCTGCTGCTCCACTCGTCGGAGTCGTAGCTCTCGCCAGCCTTGACGCTCTCCATCGCATCCAGACACAACAGCTTCTCCAAGAGGGGCGGATTCTAGCCTGGCTGCAAAACAACAACAACGTTGCTCCAAAGTTCGTCCAGCAGAAAAGAAAAATCTGAGCCTCAGTCTTACCAGCCACGGATCGAGACAGCAGCAGCAGCTCAAATCCAACAGCTCCAAAAATCCATCGTGGGTCGCAAATCCAGCAAAGACCCAAGTCAGAGAGACGCTCCAGTGGATTAAATGAGCCGCCCCACTCTCCCGATTTCTCGCTCACTTCCCCCACCTACAACACAGCAACATCACATTCCTTCGCACCAATCGCGAGACAAATGAAAACCATTACCTGAGCCCAGAGCCTAGCTGTTCCTCAGTAGAAAAAAGATCTTTTAAAGAGAAAAAAGTGTCCTTCCTTCTTATCCTCGTGGGGCTCTACCGCAGGACGAATCTCGCATCGATCGATCGAAACTGTTGCTGCGTTGCCAAAAGAAAATGTCCGCACATTAATACAACACAGAGAGCAGAAAAAAAAAGGTAAAAGGAACAGTACTGACATTGTGGAGTACGGCGGTCACGCGAATATGCCACCACTCGAGCACGCGAATATACCGCGCGCTAGGTTTACATTCCCTCGTTCGTCAGATCGAGACGCCCTTCCTGAGAACCTGCTCGATCTTCTCGGCCTTGGCGTACTGGATCTCGGTGATCGTTGGAGCCGGAGGGAATGCCGTGATTTCCACCACCAGATGCGGCGTCGGGAGCTGGTCCAGGAGAGCCCTCACATTGTGGCAGCACACGGACTCGGCGTGCGCATTCTCCCGGCGGATCTGGCATCCCTAGCGAAGAACACAGCGCGATTCAGCGATATTTCGATCGAAATCGATCAAAATATCGAGCGGGAGAACGAAAGAACGATGGCAGTACCTTGTGGGAGCTCGCATCGCGGAAGGAATCGTCGCTGGAGAGCAGGGAGGAGATGGCCGTGAGGAGCTTCCGGCCCTGCGAGACGGTGGGGACGCGGTAGCGCCGGACGAGAGTGCCCTTGGTGCTGGCGTGCCACTTCGTCCGGAATCTCACTTGCTCGTTCCTCTCGTTCTTCCGCTTCCCTGGCACCGGAGGAAGAACCCTAAAATCTCCCAAGAGAGGGAAATCAAAGAAATGTATACCTGAAGTTCCAAAAAGAACGCGCTGGAGCCACGCTTCCCATCCATTCTCCTCGTCTGTGACAATCAGTCGATCAGGGTATTTCTCGATCGAGCTGCCGCAATGCCGCATTGATCTTACCGGAGGCTGCCCGTCCCGCAAGCCCGAGCTGCAAGAACGCGTAGAAGACAAGCGTTCTGCCAATGCACAGCACTGGCTCCGCCACGACCACGCCCGCCATAGCCACAACCCTAGCCGACGAAGAAGCTCCATTCCTCCTCGCAATCCCGCCGATCATCACTCGCCTCGCAGCGGCGCCGCCAGCGCTAGCTCCTCCATGCTTGAAATCCCGGCTTCCATCCACCACCGCGAGCGCGCACGATCGAAGAGAGCCCATCGCATCGTCCTGTAGGTAATCAACGTCTCCACTATAAAACACTTTATAAACAATCATCCAAATCGCTCTTTCCTCTTTCTCTCGATCGGTGGCACTCCCGATCGATCACGCGAAAACGCTACCTAGATTCGTGGATCATCGTCACAGCTCCACTTCCACGGCACTCTCCTCCTCTACCGTGATCCCTCCACCAAGCATCGCAGTGGCTTGCTCCTTGAGAAACCACGCAGCGTTGCCAATGTCATAGAGCATCAATCCAACTCTCCCGCCGATCCAATTCCCCAGATGGCTGCCAATGAGATAGCCGATCCGCCCGAGCTTCCTCTCCCCCTCGATCCCTCCCATCCACGCCCCACACATCGTCCCAGCGCCGCGCATCGTCGCCTCGATCGGCCCTCCGCCGTAGTAGATCGCCTCGAAGAAATCCCACGCCGCCGCTATGACCGGCCCCGTGATCCTCCTCGCCTTGCGCGAGGAAATCTTCGCGGCCTTCTTCCCGGCCACCGCCGCCGCCCTGGACGCCTCCTGGATCGACAGGCCCTCGTGGAGTGCGTCCTCGAGGGCGATCTCGTAGGCCTTGTGCCGGGATTTCTCCACGATCCCGGAGCGGATGTTGTACGTGTAGAGCTTGACGCCCTCCTTGATCGAGCACGCCAGCGTGCCGCTGCCTAGATCGAAGCAGTCCATCCAGGAGAACTTCCCGGATTGCGACGATCGCTCCTCACCGACAATCTGCCGGGATTTCTCGGCTGTAGAAGAAAAAAAACGACCAATCAGTCGTCCGCCTAAGAAATTCGTGCAATGTGAGATGGGGATTACCAAGGAACGTGAGAACGATGAAGGCCGTGATGAGCGTCACGACCCGCCCTCTCGTCTTCGCGAGATCCATCGCCTAGCTCACTCGCAAGAACCCTAATTCTCAATGCTTGCGTGGGAAGACACGTCAGATCTTCTTATTACTTTTTCGCGCATTTTACTTTGACTTTTAGGGCACCACCTTTAGGTTTTCCGAGATTTAGGGCTAGGGCTTTACGGCGGCTGTGGTTGTGCGTGTAGCGATGGCGCCTGCGACGAAGAAGGGCGCGGCGGGAGCGACATCCAAGGGGAAGAAGAAGGCGACCTTCACGATCGACTGCGGCAAGCCCGTGGAGGACAAGATCATGGAGATCGCCTCTTTCGAGAAGTTCCTCCAGGACCGGATCAAGGTAGGGGGCAAGACGGGTGTCCTGGGCGATACTGTGACCATCACCAGGGAGCGCAACAAGATCAGCGTCACATCCGAGAATGCATTCTCCAAGAGGTTATCAAATTCTCTCTTTTTCTCTGCTACGAAGAAGATCTCAATGGGTTTTGTGCCAGGTACTTGAAGTACTTGACCAAGAAATACCTCAAGAAGCACAACGTGAGGGATTGGCTGCGAGTGATCGCGTCCAACACTGACCGCAGCGTCTACGAGCTCCGATACTTCAACATCGCCGAGAACGCGGCCGACGAGGAGGACTGATTCATCGATGCAAGGAAGAAGAATTCACCCCTTTTGTTTTTGTGTATTGCAAGCGTTCTAAACGGAAGTTTTACCTCTTAAGTTCCTCCTAGCTCTTCGCAAGAAAGAACGAAAAAGTTTCTCAGCAGTTTGAAGTTCCTCCTAACTCGCAAGAACAAAAAGGTATCTTTTTGTCTCGTCAAAAAAAATTCAGCGAGATCGGCTTAACCATTCTCGGCCTTGTCGTAAGCACTCGACTTGTGCTTGGGAGTGAAGACGAATCCCTCTGGAGCGGGACCAAGGAGCATCTCGCTAATGCGGACCTGCGAAAGAAAGAAAAGAGATCGATCAAAGCAAATATGATTTTTGCGAAGAAAAGAGATCAAGTATGAGCTTTGCGTACCCAGTCTGCAGCACTGTCCGATGCCATGAGCGTCTCGAGATCGTTTCGACCAACGTAGCGCGGAGGTCGCCAGTTTAGCCTTTGTGGGATAACTTCCAGGAGTCCCACCGGTATGTATCTGTGTAAGTAGCTCAGCCACTCCAAAAGAAACTTTCGAGTCGTTTCCACGCCTGAAGAACGCGTTTAACTTCGCTGTAGCTGATGAAACCAAGAACACATACCTTTGGAGTCAGAGCCCCAGTGTTCCAATCCAAATTGCGTATAATCACGCAACAGATCGAGCCTTTCGTTGGAACTGATATCCCAGTGCCTTTGTTCCTTAATCTCCGTCAAAAGCCACGGCTGCAATGCAAAAAAAATTCGAAATTCGAAGACGCTTACTTGATCAGTTTGCGTACCTTGATCAGCGCTCCTCTCGCAAGCATACACGACGAGAGGTTTAAGTCGGGTAACATGTGCTCGTTCCAGTCGCTATACGAGAAAATGTCGCCATTGCCGAGAACTTGCAAGTCATCAGGGGCACGCTTTGCACAGTCGTAGATATACACCCAGTCCGCGAGCTTGCTGTAACGCTGCTGTCGAGTTCTCCCGTGAACCGTGACTGCCGAGACCCCCCAGTTGCTCAACTCAGAGATCATCGAGTGAGCACAATTCTTTCCCTCGAAATAGCCTGTACGCATCTGCAAGAATGGAAAGCGATCAACGCTCAAAGGCGGAAAGACAAACCGAAAAAAAGATTACCTTGAGTGTCAAAGGCTTTTCCACGATCGACGCAGTAGCTCTCACAATCTGCTCCAGCCTGGTCGGCTTTGTGAGAAGGCAGGACCCAGCTCCTTTCTTGACGACGATATCTATGGGACAGCCAAGGTTTATGTCGATGAAGTCAACAGTGCATTCTCTTTCGATCAGCTCGACCGTCTTCGTCAGAGAATCAGCATAAGAGCCACAAATCTGGACGCCAAAACAGTCTTCAACAGGGTGGCGCCTCAAAAGAGCCCACTCGGATGCGTGGCCCTGAACAACTTAGCTTTAGCAAGTTCAAGACACATCAAAATTACCTGAAGAAGGTTTGTACACATCGCCATCTCTCCACAGGTAACGTCGGCCCCGAGCTTCTTACACAGCCTCCGAAACGGAAGATTCCCGACTGTCGTCAGAGGCGCAAGATAAAGCTTGCCTTTCAAGTCGATTTTCTTCTTCTCCCTGCTGTTTAGCTTGCAGTCATCTCCTTGTTCTTTAGCATCATCCACAGGATCCACAAGCTTTGGTTTCTTCAAAGGCGGAACTGCGTCATCCGATACGTCATTGTTCTCGTCATGCGTTTCAGCTCCACCATTTTCTCCTTCCGTTGTAGCACCCTTCTTAGGTCCATAAACCTTGTTCTGTTCAGAAAGAAGAAAAACTTTGAGCGCGGCAGATAGAAAACGAAGAAACTCACTTTGAGACCCATCGCTTGTAGCTGGCCATCAGCTTTAGGAAAGCTCTCAAGTTTCTTCCAGAGTGACTTCTGAAAATCCTTTCGAAGAACATTGATCTCGCCAGCGCCCGATGTTTCCTCGTCTCCATCCATAGCACCCTCGGGGTTTTCCTTCGGCAGATCTTGTTTTGTGTGAGTTCCGTAGAATCGACACCTTACTCCATAAGGACAAGGCACATTCAAGTTCACTGACGGGCAAACTCCAGGAAGATCTTCCGGTTTCTAAACAAAAATCTAAGACATGAGAAACAAAGAAACGAATCACAATTGACGTACCTGTGCCAAGTAGCCTTCCAAGTCGTGGCTAAACCTACAGTTCTCCCCAAATGGACAGGCATTTGGATCACCAGCTCTAACCACGGCATTGCACACCTCGAGCTTTCTAGCCTGGATAGAGCACAGACACAACACAATGGCGATCAGAGATACGAGGAACACGAAGACATCGCACCTGCTTTCGCTCTTTTCTTATCTTCCGCTTGGACTTCTTCTCGCTGGAAATCTTGGCGGCGTCCTTGTCCGAAATGGTAGAACGCACCTGTGCCGAGACCAGAAATTCCTTCTTCACAGGCGCCACGCCCTTGGCAATCAATCCCTCAGCTCCATTCGCAGAATTCTCCTCGACAATCTCCGCCTCGACACGATCCTCCACTGCCGCCATGGCGATGGCGAGCGAGAGATTATTTTAGGGTTCTTCAAAACTAGGGTTCTTGGCTCCAAATGGCGTGGCTGGGTCTCATTGCCACTGGATGGCTCCAATCTCTCAATGGCTCCTCCTATCTCTTCGGATCCTACTCCCAGGCGCTCAAACTCGCGCTCGCGCTCGATCAAAAGAGCCTCGACACGCTCGCATTCTTCAATACCCTGGGAAGCTCCAGTGGAATCGGCCCGGCGCTTCTCTACGATCGCATTCCTCCGCCGGCGATCGTCGGCCTGGGAATTGCTCACAGCAGCTGCGGCTACTTCCTCATCTGGCTCGCGATCAAGAATCCCTCTCTCTTCTCCCTCTGGCACCTTTCCCTCTTCCAATTGCTCGTCGGATTCGCGCAGACGTACATCCAGACGGCCGCGCTCGTGAGCGGCGTGAGGATCTTCCCCGGCGCGCGAGGGTTCGTTCTTGGCTACCTCAAGGGCCTCGTCGGATTGAGCGCCTCGATCTTGGTCCAGTTCTTCCTTCTCGTCTGCCATGGCCGCGAAGAATGCATGCCTCTGATGCTCGCGTGGCTGCTGCCACTCCTCTCCGCGCTCCCAATCCTCGCCATCTCTCGCAAAATCCCTGCCCCTTTCCAGGCCCCATCCTCGATTTCTTGGAAGTCAATGCTTCTCGCGGCGAGCTTGATCTTCCTCGCAGCCTTCTTGCTCGCGGCCGTGATCGTCGAGAGTGTCATCACGCTCGACCGGATCCAGATCGTGCTCGTCAATCTTGGAATGTGTCTCATACTCCTCTCACCGATCTACGTGCTCGTCAAGCCCGATCGAAAGAACGAGGAGCGCGAATCCAAAATCGAGGGTTTGCTGCCAAGAATTCTAGAATCCAGCGAAGAATCCTCCGTGATCCAAGAGCAAGGATTCGCGATCCACGGGCAGATTGGGGGCGAATTCACGACGCTCGAGGCGATTGCAACGCTGGATTTCTGGCTGCTCTTCCTGGGAGTTCTTCTCGGCACCGGCTCCACGAGCGTGGTGACCAGCAATCTCTCGCAATTCGGCCACTCCCTCGGCTACTCCTCGCGAACGATCACCATTTGCGTCTCCCTCTTCTCGATCGGCAGCTGCGTTGGAAGGCTCGGCTCGGGCATTCTCTCGGAGCACGCTCTTAGGGTTTATGCCACGCCAAGGCCAGTGTTCTTGATCCTCACAGCCGCGATCCAGGTAGCAAGCTTGCTCCTGGGCAGCATTGCCGTCCACGGCGCTCTCTTCTTCGTGGCGATCCTCTCGGGCATCGCGGATGGCGCGTTCTGGTGCCTCGCCATCGCCACCGCCTCGGATCTCTTCGGCCTCGCGAGCTTCAGCTCCATTCTCAACATCATCACCTTCGCGTGCCCGATCGGCGCGCTCCTCCTCTCGGTGCTGCTGGTGGGATCGATCTACGATGCCCAGAACGAGCAGGGATTGCTGTGCGTGGGATCGCGGTGCTTCGGATCATCGTTCCTGGCCGTGGCGATTTGCTGCGCCATTGCTGGTGTGGGATTCGCGGCCCTCGCAAGGAGGAACAAGGGATTCTACCACGGGATCCACGCCTGTTCGTCTTCTTCCTCGCGAGCATTGTAGCAGCGATCGTGACAGATGAGCTGATCGATAGGAGTTATTTGCGATGGAATACGGGCTCCGGGATCTCAGGAACAGCCGATGGATCGCGCTGGCGGCCAGCTGCTGGATCATGGCGTTGAATTCCTCGATCTACACTTTCAGCGGCTACTCCCAGGCGATGAAGATCGCCATGGCACTGGATCAAAAGACCCTGACGGCGATCGTCACGTTCTCGGGCGTCGGCAGCGCGCTCGGGATCATCCCAGGACTTCTCTACGCCCTAGTCCCGCCATGGCTGCTGCTCGCCGCCGGAGCTGCCGGCCAGAGCGTGGCGCTCCTCATGATCTGGCTCACCATCACGCACCGGATTCATGGCGCCGCGGTGTGGCAGCTCTGTCTCTACGAGCTCCTGATTGGGATCTCCCAGGCGTCGGTCCAGACGCCGGTGGTGCTGGCGAGCGCCAGGAATTTCTGCCGCGACACGGGCGTGGTGCTGGGATTGGTCAAGGGCTACCATGTGTTGGGCGGATCGATCTTCCTCCAGGCGTTCTACGCGATTAGTGGCGGCGGTGGTAGCGGCGATGGGCTCCCGTTGATGCTCTCGTGGATGATCCCTCTCATGCTTCCATTGGCTCTCGCGGCGAGGCCCATCTCTCGTACGGCGAGGTCTCCGCCGGCGTCGTACGGTGTCATGTACGGCATGTCCGGAAGCCTGGCGGCTCTAGCAGCGTGGCTCCTGGTCGTGAGTGTTCTTGAGGTGTTCATGAGATTCACTCGTGCTACACAGGTGATGGTCTGCTCGATCATCGTGCTCTTGCTGCTGCTACTGGCTGTGATCGCGTTGGTGGCGGGATTCCAAGACAAAGATTGGAATGCAACTTTGCTGGATCGTGAGGAACAGCTGACATCGCGAAGGGGAGTGCTAGATCGCGAGGTAGCAGGATCTGCGAGGGAGGCCCTGCTAGATCACGACGAGAAGGAACCAACTGGAAGAACAGAGGCTCTGCTAGAAACAGGGGCGACCAAAGATCACGAGACAGGAAGACCATCACCACCACCTAGACTTGGCGATGATCACACGCTTGCCCAGGTCGCCACCAGCATGGATTTCTGGCTACTGTTCGTTGCGCTGGTGTTTGGATTCGGCGCCGCTAATGCAGTCTCCACCAATCTCACCCAGCTCGCGATCTCGCTCGGCTACTCGCAGAAGATAGGCCCCGTTTTCGTGTCTCTCTTCTGCGTGAGTAGCTGCTTCGCAAGGATCGCCGCCGGCCTGGCCGCGGACTACTGCCTGGAGCGATTTGGCACTCCCAAATCCACGTTTCTGGCGCTGGGGATGGCCTCCAACTCGATCGGCACGGCGCTGGCGGCGGTCCCGGTCCCTGGAGCGACGATCTTCGCGGCGGTGCTGGGAGCGGCGAGCGATGGAGTGAACTGGGGGCTCACCGCCGCCATAGCCTGCGAGATGTTTGGAGAGAGGAGGCTGGGCGTGGTGTTCAACGCTCTCTTCGTGGGGAATCCAGTCGGCCATTATCTTCTCTCGTCCAGGGTGGTGGGTTACTTCTATGATCGCGAGGCTGGCCGGGAATTGGTGTGCCATGGGGGTCATTGCTTTCGAGGAGGATTCGCGGCTCTCAGCGCCGCCAGCGCCATTGGAGCTTGCTTGTGTTGGATCGTCGCCACGAGAACGAAGAGGAGGCACTGGCAGTGAAAGAGAGAAAAATCCTTTGTAAAATCCTATCTTGTATGATCCAACGCTTGATCGCTTGTTCGTCACTGGAAGCTTTCGTGGAACGCCACTCGCAGCTCCGCGGGAGTGCTGTGCCGCGAGAGATCTCGTTAGAGGAAAAGAGATCCATCGATCAATCGCTAGCAGCGGCGTTAGAACCCGCGATCGCGACGCCAAGTTCAAATGCATGGGAAGTGTGGCCGTGTGGATGTCGCCACCTCGTGGAACATCATGATCGGTGCCTGCGTCGAGAACGAACATAGCGACGATGCGCTCAGATTTCTCCAGCGTTCCAAGTCCAGAGAGAATTCCAAGACGAGATGCTCACCTCGGGCATCTTATCGAAGAACTCTTTGGCGGCAGCAAGATTCCCAGAGTGGACGAACATCGCCAGGATCGCATTACGTGATCCAGGCATATTCCCAGTCTGGGCATATCCAAGAAAATGCAGAGACAATGGCTGAAAGGATAAGCCAAACATTCTTAAGATTCAGGTTTCATCAAACGACAACTCTATCTCCATACATTTCTTGGTACGACTTGCTCTCGTACTCTCGGCTTTCAAGCACTTGTGGCTCCTCCCAAGCATTTAATGCCTCGATCAATGCATCCTTCTTGAGGGAGGAATAGCCTTTAAGACCCCAAGACTTCGCCAAATCCTTGAGTTCCCGAACCGTCATTTTATGGAGGTCATACTGCTCCTGGTACTCAAGGTCGATCAATTTATCCACGGAGCCCGCAACTGGATGTGCTAACTGAAGCAACTCGTAGGTTTCGATCAAAATCTTGACTTGGATAATTCCTGTAACACACTCAAAAGTAAGTGTGACGCTTAAAACGAACGATTTACAACCTTTTACGGCTTTGTTGCAAACATGCCGATGCTTGTCCCGGTAGCTCTGGTACCCGAAACGTTCGAAGTTGCCTCGAGCTAAGTAGAACGCCAAGATATACTCCCTAAAATGAATCAATGAGTGATTGAAGAGTTGCCTGTAGAAAACAATACGTACCGCTGCCGGGGATCCATGAGGTCCTTGTTGTACTCGTTGTTCCATGCGTCCAGAGCAGCCACACCTTCCTCCACGGCCTCCCGTGGCACCGGGTGCTCGCTGGCAACTGTGGCTTGGCCAAGAACCCGAGGGGGGATTGCAAAATCGAAAGCAGCGTTGCTTTTATTTATTGGCCTCCACACAAAGTCTTTAGCATTGCGACCTGCAGCAAATGGGAAGGAATGCGAATATTGTAAGCAGAAAATCTCACACCTTACCTGCAGCCAGGAGCGCAGTTTTCAAGTCACCGTTGTAATACCTTAGCCTCAGACCGCCAGTGCCTGTGCCTTCATGGATTGTCTCTCCTTCGCAAGATTGACAGTTCCACAATTTAGGAACAGGTAGTGGACAACGAGCACACTCCTGATGGTACCATTTTCGGCATTGTCTACAAACAATCAACCGACGATTTGCTCCTTCTTCCACGACGCGCGCTTGGCACCGACTACAGTGCTTGTTATCAATCTGCAAAACACTTGTGATGAAAGGGAGGGAAACATAAAACCAGTCCACTCACCAAGGTGACGGCAGCGAAATTGCTGTCTAGCACTAGCCGGACAACTTCCTGCTCAAAGACATATCCCCGTAGAGCACCAAGCTCGGGATCAGTGGACTGTACAAGTGTCCTAAAGTCTTCCTGTTTCGTTCTGACGAGCGTTTCTGTGAAGAGATACTTAATCTTGGAGGATGCAAAATCCAGCAAGTATCTGGCACCCTTGACAAGAGGCCGCTTGAAGTGAAGCAGCAACCACGATATGTCGTCAGACGTCGCCCCGGAAAGGATAGCCCGATAGACTTTTGGCAAGTCCGTATTGCAGAGACTGGTCTGAACATTCCTCTCACAGGCTTGGTCATCCAGATCGCCAACCGCTGCGTCACGAAGTAGACGAGGAATCCCACCGTACCAGTCGTAGTACAAGTCAGCTGCTTTGATGCGTGCATCCAACCGATCTGCCTCATCCAGAAGAGCCACCCGTGGAGACCACTCTTCCGAATACGTCTTCCACCGGCGGTCACTCGGCTCGCTCGTCTTCAGCAGTCTATCAGCTTCTTCCCGCATTTCCTTGCTCTCAAGCTCCCACAGGCCTAGCAACGCCTCAAACTCGTCCTTATCCCAGGGGTGAACGAAGAACTTGCTTTTGACCCCTATTGGCTTCGCGCTCTTGATGTTTCTACGACCCGGGGATGCTGCTACCAATATCCTTTTGCCCAGAGGGTCTCCACTCTCAATTTTCTGGTCGATGAGGTGAACCACACATCGCTGCAATCGACTCAAGGGGTACTCCGTCTTCTCATGGATGGATACCTGGCCTTCGGACGTGAATTCCCAGATAAATTCCGCGGACTGGTAGACGACGACAAAGCTGGTGTTCTCAATGGTCATCTCAATTCCGAACCGGATGAGGAAGTACCAGAGGAATGCCGACTTTCCAACGCCAGGATTCCCGTGGAGGCGTCCTAACCAATCCATAGACACTGCAGCTTCTATGGCCGAGTAGAGATTATCGAAATCCTTGCGCACGTACAGCCTTGCAATGCCTCGAGGTCCTCTCAGGGTTCCATATTCCGCAGGCACACTCCCATCTATGACCTTGCCGGCGGAGGAGACATGCGACTGGTGATCCATGTTGCCTATCACGCGATCACTGGTAAGCGCCCGGGATTTGTGGACGGAGCGTGCGTACAGCATAGGAAAGATAAGAAGCCTGTTTTTTATCCAGCTGCACCCGTGCGCTCTTTTTTGTCCTCAAGCGTCAGTTTTTCACCCTCCACGGTTTTCACCGAGAAGCGGTCGCCGGTGGAAACGCCCACCGTTTTATCGCTACGCGTTACCATAACCTTATCGCCCGGCGCCA